AAGGAATTCTTTTCTTTACAGCTATGGAAGAAGATACTCCAGTCAAAAACTGGTTTACCACTTCAGCAAATCCTGCCTGTAAATGTCTGGCCAGTGACTTCTACTATTTCAGTGGTGTAACTTTCTTTAATTTTGGCACCAAACATCTATTTGTGGAATACTATTGTTGCATAACGGAAATGGAGAATGGTTGGCATGGATGAGCACTCAGAGCAGCCATCACCTCCTCTTCAGGAGTTAGGCATCAACCCAGCTATTTTAGGTCCTTTGGATGAGATGTGAAATTGAAATCTGACCAACTCGTTTGAAAATAGTAGAGATGGTAATCTGAAATCCTGGCCATGCCCTAACTTGGGTGGTAACCATCTACTATTTTCTTACACTTTTAATATATATTTTAAAACCCCCAGATGAACTGAATAATGTTCCCTTTTATAACAGCACATTAATGTAAGATAGCTTTATTTTCAACTAATACAAAAAGTTTAAACAGGCAGTTAGTTTTGAGCAGGTTAGTTTCTTTCAAAGAATATAGCTGACATGGACATCTTTTGATATTCCAGGATAATACACAGTAAATGAGAAAAAGTAGTCAGTCCTCTCTCCCCCCCAATGAAGACTGACTAAATGATCTATTAAGATAACATGCACCTTCTCATTGATTGAATAGGTAATAATTCCACTCATGCAAACATATGAAAAAATAATTTTTGATTGTGAAAAGAAAACCTTATACAGATTTGTCTTTTTAAAAGAGAATTAAAATCTGGTCACCTTGGAATCGAATGAGGTGAGTTTTAATAGGGTACCGCATAATGTCCTAAGTTATTTAAAAGGCTCAGCCTTGCGATGTTCCGATGTGGAGTGTAGGACTGTTCAAAACATCAAAATGAAGGATGAAATTTTCCAAGCTTTGTTCATCTGAACCTTACAAAGTACAGAGGCAACATTAATTTGTCATTATATTAACCCCAGATGATGATTCCAGAGCTGGCTGGTTAGCAATAATGCATTTTGAGGAAGAGCCTTGTTCAGATACATAGTTCATAGCAATATCAGAAAGTTAATTTACACAAATTGTTCACTTTCACGTTTGGTTGGCTGAAAATTAGTCCAAACCTAATGACATATGTTTTCAACATTTAAAACAGATCGTATGTTTTCTAAACCTTGATTGGTTGAAATATGGGAATTCTAATTTCCACATTCGCTCCCAATTTTTTTTTTTTTTTTTTATTTTTTGAGAGAGAGAAAGTAGGCTGATAGGTCACTAACAACCAGTCTCTGCAGGCGACATGGTGCCCGTGTGTGCACAAAATGAGTGGTATATAAGGTTTTAGATGATAGATTATTGTCTAGGGGTGGGAGTCTCCAAGCCAGTGGGAGGGCTGAGTGTGCATTCTGGTACATTTTAGCATTTATACAGAACTTCCTACAAAAATATTGAGTTGCTTACTTTTATACTGAACCATATTAAGAGTTTTATTCCTATATGAATCGAATTAAAGAGCCTTGATTAATAAAATTCACAGTAATATCCCAGTACCTTTAGATAAACATTTGTTTGTAATATCATTTATAAGTATTATTGACATTTCCTGGGTTGACAGTTTCACCCCGTTTATCACTGACAGCTTGAATTATTTTTTCAGCTGTGGATCATGTTAATTGTGGAAGAAGCTCATAGATAGGAATGTGAGATAAACGTGCCTAATACCTTTAATGTATGTGATGACTTTACCAGGCTTATGGTACTGTATTTACTGTAAACAAAAGGTCATGCTCATAGAGATAATGGGGCAAACTATGAACTATTCTGCATAGTTACATCTGGGCAGCTTGGCACAAAAAATATACTATCTTTCAAAGTATGATTAGCTATTTTAATTAGCACTGGTGTCACTGACCTTGGGGAAAGCAGACATTGACAAGCAAGTGTAAACCAAGGAGGAATGAGTCTTTCTGGTTAGCACACACTGCATTTTAGTAATAGTTGATTAAGAAAAAAAGATGGACTACTAAAAAGGTAAATCAACAGAACAACGTCTCTCAAGCTTTTCCTTTTGGGAACACCAGGAAGGAATGCAGGGATTGCATGTACATTTAAACATTCTTAAACAGAAAAGCAATTCCCCAAATACAGTAGCTTTAGACAGCCTAAATTACAAGCACAATAGGGTCAGTCCCCTTCACATATTGAAATGCAGGAGGGTCCCCCGAAGAGATACTGTGTCTGTTACATGGACTTTTTAGTAAAATAGCATTGATGTAGTTTTGTTAATAATGGAAACTTGTCCTTTCAAAACAAACTAGAAAACTATACCACAATTTTCTTAAATTTGGAATCAAGTGTTAATTTGGGGGCCTGACCCTACCTGGATCCCTGGTGATAATCACTTTTATCTTATGTATAGAAGCTACCACACTTGTGTGTGTGTGTGGACAGTAGTTAGTTCTGAAAAACATGCAAATGTGCATTATGTATTGGAGGGCAGATCTAAGACCTCAAGAAGGTAAGTAAGTTAGCATGCCACTTGTGAGAAATGGATTTAGAAATACTTGTTTAGAAATTGAGTTCCAATCCCAATTCACAACATGAATTGTTATTTTATAAGGACCATGCCAAAGTTGACAGGCCCAAAATGCCATTTACAATAAAATGTTAAAGAAATGCCTTTTTGAGCCTGAAAAATCAGCAAACTTGCAAATCCAATACTGCCACACTGTTAAAATACTAGCTACTCTGCTGGGTGATAAGCTTTAAATCCAGGTTTGTTTTTGATGGCTGTGTATGCAAGTCATGCTTCAGCTCTACACTGCCATTCTGCAAACTTCTTTGTGATGAGGCAGGATATTGATACTATTTCTACTGTACAAGAATCCGTCTCTTGGGATTTCCATGATTCAGCATTCCACCCTCTAATAACTAATAACTAACAAAGAGTAAGACCAATCTTGTGTGGTATCTCAAAGTAAATATGGCTATAAACTGAGTGAAATTCCTCATAGCAAATTTACAAATGTATGATCTTTACATTCTTTTAATAGATGCACGTTCTTTCCATTGCCAGTTGAAATGTAATGTATTCAACATATGTTTCATAGTAAGAGAGATGGACTACTTTTTTCCCTAGTTTAAGTAGGCAGATATAAAAGGGTAAAGATAATTCTTTGTCATTAGTTTTATTTTTTTTAATATATATAATGCATTTTAATATTGGAATCAAATTAATTATGCAATTGTTTTCTTTCACAAAATGTATACAAAGTCATCAAGATTCATGTATCAGCATTGTAGTAGCTGAGCAAGTTTCAAAAAATTAGGAAAATAATGTTTTCCTTATGTAAAGCTTCTAATTTTTAATGTATAAAATGTTAGGCCTACAATTACAAAGATCCTCCTTATAAAAAGGATATCTTTGGACAATATTTTCCTCTATTTCCATAGTAGCAACAAGTTAATGACATGAACCACACATCACCCCTCTTCTGCACCCCCAAATTCCTAGTTAGTTTTCTTTAAATATTCCAAACCTTTGGCTACTTTGCTGAATAGAATTTCTAAAGTGTTTATGATTTACACATTGCTAGGCTTGCCAACCAAATGATTAAAAACACTCCCGTCCACTGTCATCCCCTTTACTTGCTTGAAAAGGGATTTTGTGTTTTTATTTGACTCTGTCCCTTTTTGGACTGTAAAAGCAAGGACATTTGTAAGAGTTACAATAAGTGGAGGAAATCAGTGTTACTCATTGCAAATTCATATTTTACAAAGAAGATTGCTCTGCATATTTCCCACGCAAAGATATCAAGAAACAAATGTTACATTTTAAAATGAACTTCTGTGAATCCATAACTGCATTGAGACAATGCTTTTTGCTTTTTTTTTTTTTTCTTATTGTTATAATCTTAATTTATATTAAATGTAGCCATAATGGAGCTCAACAGTCTCATAATGGTTAGTTAAATCTAGCCTGATCTTCAGAACAAACCATACAATGGATGGAAGTTATTCACTTTACATGGTGGTTTACGAGGTTGGGAAAGAAAATGGTGTCCTCTATCACCACATATAACAGAGTGCAGTGGCCCTATATGACTTTCAGGTCCAGTCCAACTTCAGGTGGTGGTTGAGGGGTAGAGACCCTGTGTTTTTGCATGGGATAAAGCAATCTCTCCATCCCTCATTGTTACTATAGTGGTTTGGCTGGTAATGCCATACTCCAGACACACAGATGTTCTAATTTGTTTGTACTATCAAGTCAAGGGGCTAATAAACTAACAAAAAATCTTTAAAGTTCTATTAAATGAAGAATGATTATTAGATTTCCATTCATTTATGAATATGGAAACAAAGCATGAAGAAAATACTATTAGTTTTCAAATCTTCTAATTCCATCCTAGTCTTGATACATTATAACTGCCTACTTTGGAAACCAAACCAGGAATGTAGAGCCAGCCTGACTAATGCTGTATCTCAATCAGTTGCTTAACGGCTTTGTTTTGCTGGCATTTTGTATACTCAAACAGTTTGAGACAGGATAATGGTATGCTGGAGTCCAAAAGTGTCTGGGGAGTTATTTTTCTTCCATTGCACTCCTTTGAATAAGTTTATTTGTTTACACGTTGAAGGGGTTCCCCTCAGTACATGCACCACATCATAATGTCACAGTTCTATTTAAAATCTTTACTTAGTTACATAAGTATTTGTTTCTCAATCTGAGCTCCTGAAGTAATTGTATTACTAGGAATCACTTCTATGTGTAGTCCTGCAATAATTCTACGGTATATTTTAAAAATATTTCTGAAACAGCAAAACTCACTAAGAAAATAAACCAGCTTGAAATACCAATTGAATATTTATGTTTTGCATAGATACGTCATATTATTCCAAATTAATCACTAGTTTTGACCCAAAAGTACATATTTTGAAAATCTGTTTCAAGGTGATGAAAAATGCACTTCCAAAAATTAATATTGAAAAGATTCAAGCTTACCACTTCAGTTCTACTCAGTGTTTATTTTCATATTTTGATCGTGGAAATCATGTATAAATCAGACATTACAAGTTCCTCTGGTCTTGCAGTTGTCTACATGAATGGGTCAACTACTAAGTATAGATGATGTATTTTTAGTATAAAATCAGGATAATATGACATTTAACTATCAACCAATACTCAATTACAGAAAAGATACAAACTTTTGTAATATAAATTAATTGCCATTACAAAAAGGCAACTGTAGTAGCTAATAAGGTACAAAAATCTGTAACTTCTATAAATATAATGAAACGCCAGAAACTAAATGAAATACATCACAGATTTCTGTACAGCACATTTGAATATGCAAACTAAGACACATAGCACATTATACAGCAAGAAAGACTATCAAAAACACTAACAAGGATTTCCAACACCACTGCAAATTCTGTTAGTACAAGTACAGGACATAACATGGAAGCGACAAGATGACCAGCTCAGAACTGCTAGACAAAGGAGGACAGTTGTAAAACATTAGGCGTCAGACAGAAGCATGTCAAAAACAGCTGTTGTTGGATACTGATTGATAATGTTTTTATTCTGACTGCTGAAACACTGCAGACAGACATAGGTCTGAGAAGCCGCCCAGTGTGGGCACATCCACACACACAAAAACACACACCCAGAAAGTAATTTAACAGATGGCTAAAGAACATTAAACCACAGTATCTTTTTTTTTTTTTAAAGACAATATTCACTGTTTAATGAAGTTGCATGGAAAGTAGCTAGTTCCTAGTGATTGAATTTATTTAATCTAAACGATGAATACACAGGAAGAGAAAATAGTCATTGAGATTGGTCATCTGAATAAAAAAGGTCTGGTATTCACAGATTCTGTATTAAGAATATTCAAGAACACTTTAGACAGAGTGTGTGACATGAACTGCTATGTATTTTTTAATCCCTCCATAAAAAAGGTGAAAGTGTTTAACGTTTAAAATCTACAAATCCATTATAATCCATTCACAAACAGAATCACATTCAAAGTAATGTTAAACATCTTTCCTGAATACTTAAACAGTTACGAGGTATTGTTTCAACCTTTAGTAGAGAGTGATTACTAAGAATATGCACATTGAAAATCATTACAAAAAAATTTCACTGCGCCTGTGCAGTTGACATTTTCCTAAAGAAAAGAATTAAACATCAAAAGGTCCTAATATACTGTATAAGGGAGTATGGCTAAAGCCATATTCTGATTGGCTAGTTGGGCCTTTTTGATGTCACTGCTGTGTAGCACTTTCCAACAGTGCATAGTTGAGATTTCATGACCAAACTAATATCAAAACCCCTATGACCTTTGCACCAAATTAACTGTTGGTGTAAATTAGTAAGAACTAAGTGGAGTTGGTCTCATTTACACCTGTTGTGAATTTAATTAATTACATCTAATATGGGCCAGAAGGCAGAAAATAGTAAAAAGATTGTTCCTCCCACCCTCTAATTTTAAACCGAAAAGCAGCTAAACTTTAGAATGCTACCTTTTCCCTTCCTCTTGCCCCCAGAGTGGGCTTCACTTTTGCATGTAGCCCGCTTCCCCTTCTTACTCATATCCTCCTCCAAACAGATTCTTTTGCAGACACCTGAGAACTTTAAATTGTTTGTGTTACCTGAAAGAGTGAATTGGAAGCTCTAAACTAGATCCCAATTCATTTTTAGTTCAGGTAAAGGGAGCCCACTCAAGGTGCCTAGCAATACCCGAGGGGCAGCAAGCGTGTCCCAATTCATAGAAGGAGAGTTGGGAGCTGGTTTTGAGTAACATGAACAGTTTAAGTTCCTGAGTATCTGCAGAAGAGGTGCCTTGGGGCAGCACATGGGTAAGAAATACATAGATAGGGGAAGAGGGGGAGAGGAAAGTGTCAGTGAGCCCAGATGCTCTCTAGGCAGCAGATTCTAGCGCTCTGGTCACTTTCAGCTCTCAGTTTCTACTACACAATTAATCCAGAAGTTACTCAGGAACCCCCATTTAGTTTTGATTATAGGAAGTGAGTTGAAACAGCCTCTATCAGGCTACACGCTTATATTGAAATGTGCCTCAGGGAAGCAGTTCACAAGTGACGGAAGAAGTGATCCAAATAGTTCAAGGAAACTTTAAAAAGGTAAAAGTTATAGAAACCAGTTAATTTAACCAAGAGTACATTACAAATAGGGAACCAGCTTTTATAGGCTCTCCCTCACGATTTTTTCTTATCCTCAAACTAGTTATAAACTAAAATAAACTTAAAGAAATGAACTCCTTTCAGAGTGAAAAGACACGTTGAATAAAGCTGTGAAAAGTAGGTCTTCTTTTAAGAAGATTTTTCAAAACCTGAAGCACAGAATCAAGATGGATATCTATACCCTCAGTATGCCATTGCAGGGTATGCATCAAGCAGGGTATTGGTGGATGTGGGCAGCTAACTGGACAAGGCACAACCACCACCGTGTGTACCAAACATCTACTGATTTCTACACCCTCTTGTGATATCTGGTTTTATTATAAACCAATGAACTGAGAAGCTCATTTGAAAAGCAAACTGATTTACATCATTTTAAAACTGCCAAAAGGCATGCAAATGTTGCACACCTGGGGGGGGGGGGGGGGAGGTGGATGGGGCTAAGGGGTGGAATATGTATTGCATTCCTAGAACTGAATGAAGTTTTTCCATTTTTGTTCAAAACTGTGGTTCTGATTAATAAACTTTTTACTAACTTTCAGTCCTCAGCGGATTTCTGAAGGCATTTTTTAAAGTCCTAAAAATAGGGGTTTATAACAGGAGATATTATAGAGGCAGGAGCACAGGTGTGATAACAATACTACTTTGAGTGAGAGATACAGCAGATCCCTTAATTTAAAATGGTCACACTTCATGCTATTTATACAGCAGAGATCCACATCGGAGTTAAAATACATATACTCTTGCTGCTCTTCGATGAGAGTCACTAAAAAAACAACAACTGGTAAACTTTATCCAACCTATTTAATTTTTTAAAAAATATCATCTACTTAAGTTGTAGCTGCAATTTTATGCAAGCTATTTTTTATAATCCAGATAATCCAAAACCCATAGCAAACACACAAAGCACACGCTGTGTTTGTGCCTTATTTCCCCTTACTCCCTCTAACTTGACTGCTTGTACCTTTGAAAGGGTTAAAAATTAGATTAGTAGTCAACCAGCAAGGTATTTGTATTTTCATTCAGTAAGACTTCAGACTAGATTTTGCATCAAGACATTTCCTTGCTTGTAAGATGATTTACTGGTACTCTGACTGGCCATCCTTTCCATATAGCTTGTTTGCTGATCCCAAGGACATACACACACAGAAATATCCACAAATTTTTAATGACGCTTACTTTTCAGAAAACATAGTTGGTGGTATTTTTTTTCATCCTTTACAGACTGTGACTTTGTGCATGCAGAATTCCATATCAAGAATTTTTATGATAATGCAGGGAAAAAACATGCAGTGAGCAAAATTAGTGGTGCACAAAGAGGAACTCCCTATATTTCAGTAGCGTGATGACTTAACTGGAATAATCATATACCCAATACCAATCATATACAGCGCATTTATTTTAACAAACAGATCTTCTGCACTAAATGAAAGTTTATATTTACTGTAAGCCATAACGCAGTCTCGATACCAAATCATAATTAAGCTGGGAGCAGAATAAACAGGTTCAATGATGACTGTAGAAGCAGTCCTCTTTCCTAGCTTTTCACATTCTTGAAGGCTCAAGCTCTCTCTCTTCTAGCAAATTTATCAGAAGGGTGAAGCTGTCTTTTACTGCTTCCATATCATCCAGGGAGCAGGGTTTAAGAATCCAGCGCTTTCCTCGTGCAAGTGGTTCAAGTTCAAAATATTTTTTGATCTATTTTAAAAAAAGTAGAAAAGAGGAAAAATTAGTATTTCTTTCATATTACAGCTGGTCTCTTAGAAAATAAAATGTAAAAAACCCCCAGAGGACACTCATTTTTAGAATCACATCCACAGCTGTTCTTATACTACAGGTTATATGTTGTGACCGGAAAGTGTCTTCTTTAGGGGTGAGTGACCTGCTTTGCAAGCCACCATTCGACCAATACCTCTAACAGCATGGGAGGTCTGAGAAAGAATTATATGCACTTAAGGCACAGAGTAAAGTATATTAAGCAAGTGTTCAAAAAAGTCAGAAAAATAACAGCAAGCAACTTTATAAACAGCTGGGCATGTACTTTAAAATCAACCTCATGACATGCTGTACCATATTGTTATTGGTAATCATCTGTAACTACCTGATCAACCAAAATATGCAACACACAAATTTTACTGTCAAAAAATTCCCCAAACTTATGTACTTGATTCAATGGTAAATTACAACAGAGGTTTCCTGGGAACCTCAAGCAACTGACTGCTAGATGCAAATGACTTACGCAACCAGTTGGCTCATTTGTCGCTATACATCGAAGCCTAGGATATTAATGTTGTCAAGGTAACAATAAGTATTATGTATGAGAGATGCTGTCTTTGTCTCTGATTGGCATATAGCATATTCTAGGTACAATAAAATTAAATATTAGTATTACCATCATAGAACAGTGGTTTTCAACCTGTGGTCCATGGACCCGTGCGGGTCCACAGACTATGTCTAAGATTTCCAAAGGGGTCTGCTCCACCATTTGAAATATTTGAAGGGGCTGCAAATCAGAAAAGATTGAAAACCACCGGTAGTTTGTGTGTGTATGGGGGTGGGGGGTGAGAAAACCTGGATTTGTGCTGGAAATGGTCCACCTTGATTATCATGCACATTGTAGGGAGAGTGGTCACTTTGGATAAGCTATTACCAGCAGGAGAGTGAGTTTGTGTGTGGGGGGGCGGAGGGTGAGAAAACCTGGATTTGTGCTGGAAATGGCCCAACTTGATGATCACTTTAGATAAGCTATTACCAGCAGGACAGTGGGGTGGGAGGACGTATTGTTTCATGGTCTCTGTGTGTATATAATGTCTTCTGCAGTTTCCACGGTATGCATCCGATGAAGTGAGCTGTAGCTCACGAAAGCTCATGCTCAAATAAATTGGTTAGTCTCTAAGGTGCCACAAGTACTCCTTTTCTTTTTGCAAAGACAGACTAACACGGCTGTTACTCTGAAGCCAGCTAAGCTGTGAACCTTTTTGACTAAATTAAATCTCACTGCGGTATTTCTATGCTAGTCATGTAGCAAAGACATGAAAAAACTGTAAATACAACTTTTAATGACAAATGTTAAGAGCATCAATGTACTTGAAAGAAAATATTTGGGAAGATGTAGCCCCTAGTAAAGATTTCATTGACATTCATGACAGCAGCCATAAAGCACTTATAGACAAGTAAGGAAAGCCAGGTATATGTTGGTTGTTCTTCCCAAACTCACTGAAAGGCTTTTACTTCTTTTAAACACAATAGTCTCATTGTGGTTTAAGTAAATTATCAAGAAAAAATAGGTTCAATTAATTCCTTGGTCTTTTTTAGAAAAGAAAAGAAGTATAATAGCTGGTACTTTTCAGACTATTTTGATCAGTGGATTTCATTAAGCTGTGTTTGTCAAGGAAAATTCCAACATACTTTTTCCTTAGTCAGTATTTGATCCAGAAAACCTACCAATGCCTGACACGTCAAAGTGACTTTTATCTTATATATATAACTGCAATTACATGCATCAGTGTTTGATATTGTCCAAACACCAATAGAAATATTTTGTCCTTACAAAGTTTAGTATGAACATTCTTGTACTGAGGAATGTTTTTGCAAGAAATATTAACTTTCCACTCTCATAAAGACAGCCAGAAACATGCATAATAATAGTAATTATTATTTTTATTTGTATTGTGGTAGCAACCAGAGGCCTCAATCAGGGATCAGAAGCCATATAGCACTAGACTCTGTACTCTAACTAAATCTTCTAAAGACTACACAAGCTGTACATTCTCCTTGAAGCTCTTCAAAATGTCCCTACAATTGCTTTGTTTACCTGATAACCTAATTAAATACTAGAAGCCTGTAGCTTGTAGTAATTCTAGCTTATAGTAATTTTATTAATTGACATAATCTGAATTTATGTACTGTTGTGACAAGATACTTAGACGAAGTGCTAGACAGAAGTCAATATTAGAAATATTACAGCAAGGTAGGAGAGATTACTTATCTACAATAATCTATAAAGGTAACTGTATTACTAGGGATCTTGATCATAGTTATCAGAAAAATGAATATTTCTATTTAAATAAAGAAGTGGGAAGAGCTACCCGTTTCAGCTCAGAAACAATCAAACCTAGATTTGTCAAACAATGCAGAATCAGGTTGGTAACAACCTAGAAAGATGGTGTAAAATCAAGAATAGAGAAAGCGTAGGAATACTTACCTATGAACAGCAGTTACCAAACCATTATTTACTGTGTTTTCGCTTAGTGTAAAATGTTATTAAAATGATCACCGATAGTACAAGTTTAAAATTTGCAATAACACTGCAAAAATTTCCTAAAAATCTTGAGACAATTAAGGATTTTAGAACTGAATTTTTAATACTATTAGAATACCTATTTCATATCTTTATTTTTAAACCTACAGATCAGTGTGGTAAATCGTTAGAATATTCAGTAATCTAGTAAAGGTATGTATGTTGAAGTCTTTCATATATTAGAAATTATACTAGAAGTCAATTTAGGTCAATGTTTAAGCAAAGTACACTAACCAAAGGATTTGAGTACAAGGGTATAAGAATGTTGTAGTTTGTTTCGGTAACTGCACTCTTTGAATGCTAAGTATGGAGAGGAAGTGAAAGCTGTACAAAAACATAACAAATCAAGGTTTCATTACAGCCACTTGATAAAAGGACCCTGCTGGTGTTAAGCTGACAAATATGGCTGAGTAACGTGAGATTTTCAGACCTACAGAATGCCCACCATACACCCCCTACTGGTAGACCACTGCAATCTGCCCCACTGATTACATACAAGTCTTAATGTACAATCCTATTTATACTAGATGCTTGAAATAAGGCCAACCAAGGCTGATTATCAAAAGGTAAATTGCATTTTAATGATGGAGTCCTTGAGCTTAAGCTTTAAAATTTACAATCTATGAAAACGCACATGGAAAAGAAATAATGGCACCAAGCACACTAGCACTTTAGTCTTCATGCAACTTAGAGCAAAAGTAACAACTACTTACCAGGTCATACTGTTGTCAAGATGTACAAAATGATTTTAGGTTACATTTCAGTGACTGTATGTTCCAAAACAAAGTCAATAATGGAGTAATAAAACAGGGCAAAATTCCCTTTGGTAAATTGGTATCGGAAAAATTGTTTTCTTGACAAAAATTGAAAATCCCATTCTTTTAGTTTTTTTATTTCTTGGTATGTAAATAAAATATAGAAATTAAATTAACAATCTGGCACAAATATTCTGTGTTTGTGAGGCTGATCCATGTTCCAAAATATCCATAGCCAGAGAACCCAAATCTTGGTGGCTGCTGAAATAAGAGGAAGCTGATCATTATGCAGTGGCTTTTGGAGTAGGAACCTCTGGTGATGACACAACAGAACAGCTGTTTGGAATACCCATAGGAGTGCAGCTATTCTGGGGACAGCCATAGAGAAAAAGGCTTGCTAGCTGACTTGTCTCTAACCCAGATATAGAAACGAACTATAATTAGCCTACCCCTACTTTAGATATTTAACAACAGTGGCATAGAAGTGATCTTCGGAACAATTCATTGTACGTTATTGCATTCTCCAATGTAAGATTTACACTACACTGGATGAACCTCAGTAAGTCAAGGGCTTTGGGAACCGTTTCCACTATTTTGAAGTCTCGGGAAATTAGTTTGCGTACACAAACATTTCTCCTATAATTCAAACCGGTGTTTGCCCTCTTATATATACAAAGCGTGATTCAATTCTAAAAACAAATATTTTCAGACTAAAAAAGAAGCCTGCACTATCCAACTGAGATAAGACAGTGACTCAAAAGCTAGATTGGCACAATTAGGTGCCCTGTGATGTGTATATGGTCTACATTTCTGTTGGAATTCTCTCTAACTTATCTCCCCTCCACCATCCCCTCATTTCTTTGTATTTGTTTTCAACACTGTCTTTCCTTCATTTTCACACATTTATTCCCAAAGGGAATTTTTCTCTCTGCTCCTATTTTCACAACTCTTCTAGACATGATGGAACCCAATCACCACCAAAATGTCTGAGTGGGTTTGAAACTATGTCAACAGCTTACTTACCCTAGTTTTCGCACAATCTCTCATCACAGTAGGACAAAAGTGGTCATTTACTCGTAGGAGCTCTTCTGTCTTCTCCTATTGCCTGAATGATGAAAAGGGTCCCTTCCTGTCCATGGGATATCCAAGCTGAATATAAAGCTACAAACACGTATCCTTCACTCAGCATACAATTATCTGTCTTGAACTGGCATTTTAAATTACTTACAACAGGACTACGAAATTTCTAAAAACCGAGGTTAGAAAGAAATATGATGAATTAAATGCACATCACTGTAAGACTTCTGTACCGTTTTCTAGTGCTCCCCATTATGGGTCTTCATCCCACAATGGGGCCTTGTCATGTTGCAAAAATTAAGTTGTACTGATACCACATTCCGTAATCAATAACCCTCCCCACAACACATGTACAATATTATTTTCTCCCACTTGAATACACTAGAAATATAATTCTCAAACTTTGCTTTTTCCAACTTGTAGATTAAGCAAAAACTAGCAAAGATTCATGCCCAGATCCTCAGCAAGTGTAAATCAGCACAATGCTATGGTGTTTGTGGTCCTACAGCAATGTACACAGGCTGAGTATCTGGACCCAAAGTTAATTTCATATGTGACATTACTAA